GGTGCACCCTCAGATCCTTGGCAACAACATCATCTGCATTATCTCCAGATACTCAAGCTTGGGGGACAGACTGACATGCCAGCGAGTATGGAAGCCACAAGGAACACATCACTGAGAGAGGGGACAGGGAAGGTGTTCCCCACAATGTAGGAAGCACTTCCACAAGGGGGAATCAAATAAATAAGTGAGTACGCCAAGCCATACATAGGAAGCCAGCAACCAGCATTCCCCAGAACTAACCAGCCCCACAGATGCAGCCACAGGACTTACAGACACGCATCCTGAGCCTGTTCCCAGTGACTCTTGGCCACAGCTTCTCTGAGTCTCACATAATCAACGTGACCCAGCCCAGCTCTCTTTGGAAACAGAAGAACCTAAAAGCCAGCCTGTGAAACATACTAATAGATTTTTGTCCCCCTTGGCACTTATGCACCTAGTTTTTACTATGTTCATTTTCATTCACTCAACTTTGTTTTTTTCCCCCATGTTTCCTACATGTATTCCAATTCTCCCTTAGTCTTGGGCTTTCTAAGGACAGGGGCTTTTCTTCCTCTGTGCTGCACAAAGAATAAACACATTTAATAAATGATGCTGAATGGTTCTGCTTGGGGCAGCAGTTGGATGCCACGTGGGCCACCTGCAGCCTGCACCATGGCGCCTGGGTTTCCGTCCCAGCTCTGCTCCAGGCCAGCTTCCTGCTAATGCACGCTGTGGGAGGCAGCAGGTGACTGCTTCAAGCATGTGGATACCAGCCACCCATGCGGGAGACCCAGACTGAGTTCCTGGATCCAGGCTCCGGCCTGGCCCAGCCCAGCTATTGCAGGCAGACAGGAACTGAACCAGCAGATGTTATTTCTCTTTCTGCCTTTCATATTTAAAAAAAAAAAAATTCCCTGCCTTTCATAGTTGTATTTCCTTTAAAAAAAAAAAAAAGAAAAAAAAAGGCTCTCCTCATGGTTAAACTGTCTCCACTGCTAGCTTCTTCCTCCTGAGTTCTGGATCTGGAAGAGCTACCACAGCCTCTCCTCTGCTGACACGAAACACGTGTGTTCTTCCTCAAACTTCTTTTGTTCTGATCAGGTCCGTTATCTAACATCTCCAAATAATCTTCCTGGCTCCTTGCCCAGTGGCTGTAAGAAGTATTCCTCTATACTTCAAAGTCTAGTTCTTGGGAGGATACTCATGAACATGTAGAAAGCCTATTTTCTTTATCTGGAGTGCTCATGCATCATGGCTCACTGCTATGGATGAGAACCCAAGGCCTAGTGAACTAAGTCATCAGTGCCAAATGGAATTGTTCTATTTCAGTTTAAATATCTAAAGGCCCAAGGACCGGGGCTTTGCACACAGGTCTCGTTAGCGGTAATCCTACTGGCTTGACTCTCGCTCCTGGCTCTGCTCCTCGGCGGCTGTGAGGCCAGGAAGGCCTATGCAAGCTGTGCAGCCTGGGGTTGGCATACCCGCTTATTGCTGTGGCTTTGCAGACCAGGGGAAGGGCCTGTGTTGGGGGAGGAGTCCTGAGGCAGCACAGTGTCTTACCGCATCAAACTCCGCTTGATCATCCTCAGGTAGGTCGCTGGTTTCATACACATCTGGCTCGTTCCTGGCCTGCAGGCAGAAGCAGGGACCACCCAGCCTCACTACCCAGCACCCATCAGCACCTCCATCCCCACTCCCATTTGAACGAGCTAACGGTGAAGGCAGGCTATGATGCCAGGATCCTGTCCCTTCTCCTCCACCTGCACTGTCAACAGCGTGTCTGTACCCCGATCTCCGAGTAGTGGGGATGACAGTGGGCACAACTGGGAGCTGAGCGTAAGTGTTAGTGATAACAAACCCTGATTCTGGAGGGGGGCACGTCCGAAGGAGGTGAGGGCTATCCTCGAATTAGGCCCTGTACATCACTACCCTGGCTGAAGAGTTACAGTGACTCAGGACCCAGCACTCTACCTCCTGTGCCCCACCCCCAAGAACTCAGGCCGGGCAGCACAAAAGCCAACGCGTGCATGTAGGTAGGGGGGGCGCCGGCTTCCCGAAGGCCAGACCTCCCCATGTGACACAAGAAGGGGTTCTGCCACAGGAACCTCTTCCTTGGCAGGTTTATGACCACAAGGGGCCTGGTGTTGTGTGTCGGGGCTAGGGACGGGGGGTGGGGTGGGGGGACTCATGGGGAGGTCTGGAGAGGCACGGGCGGGGTTGACACAGATGGTAAAAACAAGGGTACAAGTGGTAAGCGTCCGGAGACGATTTCTGGGCCGAGAAGCCGGCGGCTGCTGGAAAGGGGGCCTGGTGGGCTGTCCGAAAACCCGGCCTGGCTCCGGCCGGGTCAGTGGTCCGGGGAGGTGCTGCGGCCGGCTGGAGAGCAGCGGCGGGAGCCCTCGGGGCTGAGGAGGGGCGGCAGGCGGGAGGGGTCGCGGGTAGGTTTCTGTTGGGGGTCCCTGGGAGGTCGGGGCCGCGGTCCTAGGGAACCGGGGCCGGCCCTGTACTCACAATGCCGGGAAGGTCGGCGTATTTAGGGTCCGCCATGGCGGCGGCGAGGCGGGGCTGGGGGACCGGGGCCTCGGTGAAGCCGGGGCCGGTGACCGGGTAGGGGAGAGGCTGGGTCCGGGTCCCCGGCTAAGGCGGCGGCAAAGGGAGCGGCAGAGGCGCAGGAAGTCTCGCGACAAAAGCACAGTAGAAGGGTAAAGCAAAAGTCGCGAGAGCAGCCCGCGACCACACCCCTGGAGAGGCAGGGATTGGCGAAAACGAGGCCAGGCGATGAGGTAATGGCCAGGGGACGCCGCCTAGGATTGTGGGATGTGTAGTCTGGGTCCCCCGCGTCGGGGCGGGGACCGGCCCTAACGCACCTGGAGGAGCTCCATCACACAGCTGCTTGCTTTTATTGCTACAGCAGGTCTGTGAATAACGTTTACAGCTGCTGTGTTGGCCTCCCAGAACCTGCCTATAGAAAACCACACAGCTAGTCCTGCTGTGTAGCATAGCCCTGGCTTCAGAAACAATAGCAAGAAGTAACATTTCCTAAGTGCTTAGTGCATGTTTGTTAGGAACGGAAAAGTTAAGCAACCTTTGCCAATTAGGACTGGCAGATAAGATACAGGGCACCCAGTTACATCTGAATTTCAGGTAAACAATAGGCCATTTGTGTTGTTTTTCTATGAGTATATTCTATGTCATATACTGGCACAAAGAAATTATTATTTACCGGAAATTCAAATTTAAGTGGGCATCTTGGTTTTGTGCTTTTCAAACCTGGCAATCCTACAGAAGTTCAGGAAAGGATAAGTGGTGCTTCCATGTTTGAACACTGTGTTCTTGATCACTTGGCCAACAGTTCCTGGACTTTTGAATGTCATGGTCCGGTAAAATTAAAACAACAAGCCTTTTTTGAGGGCAGACATAGCATTGCTGTCTTTTTATTTTACTAAGTAAGGACATTACAGACAGAAAAACCTACTATCTATCTGTTATCACCATCATCATTCAATAAAAAGTAGGAAGGGCAGGCTCTCAGAATAAAAGACAGCCCTTTGAGACATAACAAATCATGTAGTTTTTGAGGGCATGTGACCAGTGACCCCCCCACCCCATGGACTGGCGATCTGAAGCCCCTTCACTAAGGATGCCACCTTGGAGCCCCTGGGATGTTTCCTGAACTTGCCAGATGCTGCAACACGGAGAATCAGTGCCAAACCAAGTGACTGGAGAGTTCCTGAATTTGGAATCACTGTCATTCTCTTTGCGGGCTCCTGCCCAAGCCTCTGCTTCCTCTCCAGAGTCCTGCTGCCCTGCCATCCGTTCCTCAGGCCAGACCCCTTTCCTGCAGCTCCCTGAAGATTCAAGAGGGGTTGGCAGTGTTCTGAGCGCTTCTGTCTCGCGGGGCTGGGCCATCAGTCCCTCTCCCTCGCCCACAGCATCTGAGCGACCGTAGACTCTCTCTAGACAATCGGCCCCTCCGTCTCCCATCATCCTGCCCCTCCCTTGGCCTGCAGCCTCCACTCCTGCAGTCCATCCCTCTGCTGGCCAGCTGAGGCCTGTGACGCGAGGAGAAAATCAATTCAGCCGCTTCTCGGTGCTTCTGCTCAGAGGCTGCAGCAGGAGCTGACCCAGGGGGAGGAAGGATGAGCAATCTCCGGACTTTTTTTTTTTTTTTCTTTAAATTTTTTTTTTAATCAGCGAAAGAGGAACAGCAGCAAAGAAAGGCTCAAGAAAGGGGCTGGGGTGTTGGGGCTGTGTTCATCGGAGACTGGGAAGCACATACACACTCGGGTGCCTAAGCCTGCCCCAAACCCAGATGGAGGCGGTCACCCTCCCATCCCACTCCCATCAGCACCCCTCCTTCACCGAATGCTGACCCCCTTTCTCTTGCAAAAGTTACTCCATCCCAGCCTCAACCTAAAAGGCAAAAATGAGAATTTTATCTGCTTTTGAATTCTGACAGCCCAGAATGGGAGCTTATGTTGCCTCAAACTGGAGGTCCCATGTGTACTGGGGGCAGGTAGTAGAGGGATGTAGAAGGGGATGTAGAAGGAGAAGGGAGTAGCCAGACCTTCCCCTGTAGTCCTTCGCTGCAGCCGGCACCTGGACACCCACCTCCACTGGGGATCGGCCAGCTGCTCTTGCAGGCCCAGTGCGGTGGGCAGTCGGGCCTCTGTGCTGTAGGCAGTGGGCAGGGGTGGGGGTGGAGGGGGGTGAGGAGTGTGTGCTCTGGGGAAAGGACCTTGATGGGGTGGCCCACCTTTCCTACCCAGGCGGCAGGTCCATGCAGTCCCCTCATCCCTGCCAGGAGTTGGAGTCTGAGCGACGGACGCACAGCTCGGGGGCGTGGGGTGAGAGGCAGCGAGTGAGCTGAGTCCGGACAGAAGTGAGGGCAAGGTCATCTCCGGGGGCGGGGGTGGAGGGGGAGGAAGCGAGGAGCCCCGGTGCGGTGGTCGACGCGGGGCGGAGCGGCCCCCTGCGAAGGAGGCCCCGCCCCGAGCCGGCGCGCCCCGCCCAGGCCCGCAGCGCGGCGCTGCAGCGCGAGGGGCGGAGAGGCAGAGCCGAGAGGACCAGACGCCCAGGTCGCCCGCATCCCCGTGCCGCAGCCTCGAGAAAGCGCGCCCGGCCCCGCTCGCCAGCCTTCGCCCCGGCGCTCCCCGGCTGCTGTCTTCCCGGCCCAGCGAGCCAGCACCTGTGCAGTGCCTCGGCCTCCTGCGCCGCGCGCCTCACCTCTGCAGCCCAAGAAGTGCTCCAGCCCCGCGCCGGCGCCCACCATGGCGGAGACCAACAACGAATGTAGCATCAAGGTGCTCTGCCGATTTCGGCCCCTGAACCAGGCCGAGATTCTGCGGGGGGACAAGTTCATCCCCATTTTCCAAGGAGACGACAGCGTCGTCATTGGGGTGAGTGTCGCCATGGCAGGGAATTAGGGGAGGGGGCGGGAGGTGGCATCTTCTCCCCTAAGAGCTTCGCCTCTGCCTGTCACCCTGCGTCCCCTCCCCGTCGCTCATCCTCAGTCTTTCGCTGCAGCCCCTCCTTTTCTCCCCTGTATCCCGATGACTGGGTGTGGCCTGGCCCTGCCAGCGGCCCTGGCTCTGCAGGGTGGGAGTGGGCCACTTCCACCATCAGGAAACCCAAGTCCCCTTTGCTAGTCCCGGCAGCGTCTCCACCCCTTAGAGCCAGCCAGTGCCGTGTTTTTCTGCTGTTTTCCCTCTCCCCCAGAGAAAGCTCATCTTCCCTTTGTTGTTGGCTCAGGTCTCTACCCCAGAGCCCAGGCGGGGAGGGGAAGGCTGGCCGAAGGGCTAAATGGGAGGTGGGCGGCCAGGGGTCTCTGCTGATGTCTGAATGGGAATGGGTTGTAGGACAAGGCCCCCTCAGCTCCCGAAGTAGTTACAGCCTGGACTTTGGGGTGGGAGAAAAATGCATTGATGCCACACCCAGTTTTGTGGGGAAACCTCTGAGATCCCAAGAACAGGTCTGCCCCTCCATCCCAGGTGCTGTAAGCAGAGGACTTCAGACCCCCTAATCTCTCCCCACGCCAGCAAAAATGACCAGGCCCTGAGACCACAATAAGTACGTGCTTATTCATCCTCTTTCTTGTTGATCCAGTGAAAAGTGGCTAGCCGTCTCTTCCTCCAGGTGGCAGCCGCTGTCTTGGGGGAGATCTGAAGAGGGAGAACTGATATTTACCGCGTGCTGATTACTCTATTATTTAATCCTTAAAACAGCACTCGGAAGTGGCATCAACATTTCCATTTCACAGATGAGGACATTGAGGCCCACAGAAGTTGAATGACTTTCTCAAGGTCACGCTGTCAGCGTGTGGATCTGAACCTGGATCTGTGCCTGCAGAGCCCACACGTCTTCCTGTATCTCCCACTGCCTCCCCATTTCTGGTCTGCCTCTTCTTGCTGGGCCTTGCCCTTTGCCGGGTGGGTGGGGACCTTCAGTCAGTGGACGGGTTGCAGGATCTGGGGTTGAGTTCTTCTGCAGGGTTTGAGAGAGTCTGGGCCAGCAAGGTGTAGCTGGTTTGAGAAGGGAGGGCAGTGCTCAAGGTCAGGGGCACGTTTGGTGCCTCTTTGATCCCCAGTGCTTGGTGCAAGGCAGCTGGAAGCATGAGTAAAGGAGCTAAGGAAAGAAGGGGAGGAATCCTGGGCCTTGGGTGTCAGGGAGAATGGGACTTGGAGTAAACACGCTTTAGGGAGAGACCTGCTTCCTGGGCCCCAGGGGCCCTGGTCTGCCACCACCCCGTGCCTTCCTCCACACTGAATCCAAGGGGCTGCCTTTGCCCTGTGTGTGTGCACACATGGACGTGTGGGAGTGGGAGTTTCTGCTACTTTATCTTAGCGACCTCAGGCCTTGGCTGGTGGAGCAGTCTGGCCAAGCTGCCAGAGCCCGGGTGAGGCCTTGGCAGCTCCTTTATGAGGAGTCTGGGCAGCAGACTGTAGCTGCGGGAGCTGGAGTGTGAGGTCCCCTGAGACGAGAGATGGGAGAGGTGGCCAGAGGGAACGAATCCACAAAAGGCCCAACTTGCTTGTTCTGGAAGGTGTTTCCTGTAGCTGGGCTCCCCGGTATGATCGCATGGGACAGGGGGTGGTGCTGGCAGGAGGAATTGTGGTGCTGATCTGTGCAGTTGGACCAGCTAAACAAGAAAGATCCAATCAGGGTAAAGAGGGAGGAGGGGGGAAGCAAAAGGAGGACCCCCCCCCACCCCCCCGCCACCAATCCCGACTCTCTCCCGGCTTCACTGCTCACGTTTCCCTGTCTGTTTTGCCTGCTGCTCCCATCTTCCCTTGTCCTGGCTCTCCCTGTCAATCTCTCACTCTAAGCCTCCGTGCTTATGGGGGCCATTTTGTCCCAGGCAGCACCCTTGGAGCCTGCTTTCCTAGACTCGCTGTTCGTTCTGCATTTGGGAGAGTGAGGGACACAGGAGACATGATTTGAGGAGAGCCTGGAGGGCCCCAGCCAAGGCAGCACGTCTCCTCCCCCTCCCCTGTCCTCCAGCTCTCTTGGGGGCCCCAGGTGTGGGGAATTGGTGACGGAATCTGCTTTGGGATGGCTGGGAAGGTGCAGGAAGAGCAAAGGTGGGACAGGGAGACGTCCCTAGAGCCAGCCCCTGTCCCTCCTGCCTCAGCTCTTCCCTCCGCCTCTGCAGCACTGCGGCGGGCTCTGGGCTTGGTTCTGCTGGGCAGAGGGTAGGAGAGGAAGCTGGAGAGACAGTTCCAGGTGCCTTATGTCTCCCCTACTCCTCTCTCTGACTTCTCTCTGGAATCTGGGGGATGGGGCTTAGTCAAAGCTAATGGCCTGAGTCATGGTAGCAGGGTGTCTGGGTCACTGTGTGTGTTGTGTGCATCTTGTTTTGCTCTTTGCACACTCAGAATCCAACGTGACTTTCCCTGGACCTTCGTAAATGTCTCTGTTTTTGTCTTCCCCCGCCTTGGCGTCTCTCAGCAGTGTCCCAAGGCCTGCTGTCTGGGCTGCCGCGTCTGTACCAGATGTGGGAGGAGACACGTACATGCACACACGCTCCCTCCCTTCATTCAGGGGTCTACACACCACCCCCCATGGGGCTGCCAATGGTGAAGAAACCAGGACCATCAAGTTCCTGTTGGGAAAAGCTAGGTTGGGACAAGCTGGGCTGGGAGCTGCAGTGGCATTGGATCAGAGTCAATATGGTTTAGGGTGGTCTGGAATTCCTTTGCTACCTGAAGAGGGGCAGGGAACAGGGCCCCCCTTAGCTTTGGTGGAATCTCATCAAAGAAAACAGAGAGGGGCTGTGATGTTCACTATGGCCGGTGTCGCTCCATCATTACCATGGCAACCCTCCCCAGGGGTGTCACCATGGAAATCGGGCCTGGTGCTTGAAGTTCAGCTTCTACCAAGTGTTTTAGTGAGGCTTGAACAGGTTGGTCGCCTTTGGACCCCTGCTTCTAGCCCCTGCCCCCATTAGCTGAGTCAGCACGTATGGTGGAAAACTACAGAAAGGCACTGGGATACACAAATGGACCAGGAGACGGCCAGGAGGCTTGGGCTGCAGAACAAAGAATCCTGGGCTGCCGAGCCCTGGAGAGATGCTTCAGTGGCCGCGAGGACAAATGAGCACCGGGTCTGCTGGGGGTGGAAGAGAGTGATTGCAGGGGCAGTTCTAAAATAGGTGGAGGGGCTAGGGAGTACTTCTGCTCGCAGGGTCTTGGAATACCTGGAGGTGGAGGGGGTGAGGGAGGCTCTCCTGAAAGGGTGGGTAGGAGAACTGCGTGTTTCTGAGAAAGGGGCTGAGGTTGGACAAAGGGCGTGATGAATTTCCCTACTGTCTGGAAGCACTTGGAGAAATGGCCACACCAAAAGGGCTGAGGGAAAAGAATGGGGGGGCTGCATTTGGGGCGGCAGGGGTGTGGGAGGGAAGCCGTGATAAGGATCTGAGCAGGGGGTGCATTTCGCTTCCTCTGTGAGTCGAATCCAATCGCTTGGGTTTGAAACCGTGCCGTCCCGTTTCTCAGCTGTGTGGTTGCGGGCTAGCTGCCGTCCCCCGGAGCCTCAGATGCCTCACGTATGAAGTGAGAGTAATAATAATACGTAGCTTCTGGGATTACAGTGAGCATTAAATGAGATGATGCATAAAGCTGCTTTGCGTGGTGACAGACAATAAGCTCTTAATGAGAATTAGCTGTTATTATTTTATATGCTGTCTCCCCCAAGAGTTCTTTTGCTAAAATCGGAAAGTGGTTAATACTTTCCCCTCTCACCAATTGCTTCATCCAGATCTCCAGGCGCCTGGTATCTTCTTGCCGTCTTCCTCATCAGCATCTATGTTTGTTCAACAAATATTTGTGAAGAGCGGCCTGTGGGCCAGGGTCTCTGGTGCTGGGGGGGCCTAAAGGGGATTCTTGCCTTCGAGAACCCTGGATTTAGGTGCTGTGGAGTGCCCCAGGGAGGGGGACGTCAGAGTTGGTTTTCCTAATTATGTGTCTGCTCCCCCTGGGAAGGGAAGGGACCCTCACAATCTGCTGCAGCGGGACTCAGTAATCGTGTATTATGAGAGATGGAAATAAGGGTGAAGATTCCCAGGTGAATAGTCTCGAGGCAGGAAAAGTAGAAAACCACAGGTCTAGTTGTTCTCCTGAAAAGATCAGACATGGTTCCACTCATCCTGAGCATGGTCGATAGAAAGGTGAAAGGACTTGATACCTGATCAGGAGTAAGAATCTGAAGGTAAAGGGGAAAGAGCTGGATTGGGATGGAAGTGCCCAGGAAGAGAAGGCAAGCGGGCAGCAGTCCTGAGCTGATTCCTGGGGTCCTAGGGCTTTTCCTGCTTGGGTGGTTAGATGTACTCACTTCCAGCTCCTGCAGCTGTGAGTCCCACCCTTCTACCCTCTGCGTTGTTCCTTCTCCCCAGCTAGGGCTGAGGAAGGAGGCCAGCAGGCAGCCATTGGCTTCAGCATTTGGAGAGCGCCCTCCATTCCAGTGCGTCCGCAGAGCCTTCTGGAGTCTGGTCACTGGGAATGTTTTGAGTGAGTGTGGGTGTGAGTGCGTTGGTGCCCCTGTTCCCAGGAGGGAGAGAGGAGGGACGAGGCTGGCCTCCGAGTTGCACTTGCTTCCCTTTGGCCAGACGCCGGGTTTGTGGAGCATGGATTGAGATCACTGGTGGAAGAGCTGAGAGGCGTTGGCCTGGCAAACACATTTTGTTTGCTTCTGTCTCTTGGCCGCTGGGTGGAGAAACATTGAGATAGATTAGAATTCAATAATTAAGGTATGTTTTCTTTAATACCTTTAGAAATTATGTGACTATGACACTACTAGATTTTAATTGTTGACAGAAGTAAAGAAAAGCACATAGAAGAAACTATAAAAATCATCCCAAGAAAAGCACCCTTAGTAATTCGATGAACAGTATTTGTTTTCAGTG